TGATTGAAGAGCACGATAAACAGAAATGTAAGATACTGTTATGTTTCTGGAAATTCCAGAAGTTGTCACATCAATTCACTGATCAAATACTACATTTCGTAGAACATTCTATTTTATGTCCAATGGAGAGGTTATGATGCAAGTTAGCAGCCACAATATGCGAATCGAGATATTTTATAAAATGTTTTTTGTTTCTGTTCACAGTTGAACAATATCAGGCATCACTCTCTCTCATCTTTTTTGTCGAAATAGATTGTCATCTTACCGTTCGTTTTAATTTATTTGGTAGCGAAAGATCAGTCAAGCAGAAATGAATCAAAAAACAAAGTTCTATGACCGACTGTTGGTAACCCAATTTACATACAGTGTTATTTATTTGTTTCATTTATTCAAATTCTTGAACAGCAAATAAAAATTCGAATACGGCTCGCTCATTGGTTATGCCAGGAGAAGAAAGTTTTCGCTGCAGTCGAGATGCATTGACACTTGCCGACAAGTTGCAAACGGCGCTTCATGAATTGTGCTCAGCAGTTACTTCATCAAAGTAACGATTTATCCTTAAACTATCAAATTTTACAAGTACTATATATCATCCGCAAATACCAGTCCTTTTTATTTTGAGGCAGGTGGTTGTTTCGGATCATGTATTTGCCCCACGTGAGTATCTGGCGCAGCAGCTGGAATCGCAACTTACTCAGTCAATCCAAGCTTTAATCTCCTCATCTGAGCATCCGATGAGACCTTGTCAACTTTTGGCTTCAATAAATGCTCACATGATTGTGTTACAAAATTTGGACACCATAGGTATCACTCTCTACGTTATTTTGGGAAAATTTATAAATATATATTTTGATAATTTTATGTTTATGAAATATTTCCTCGATAAAACTTTTGAAATGTGGCAAATCTCACTTCCTACGTTATTTACTAGTATATATATATAGTTTTGGACCATGAAGCTGAGATTATATTCATCAGTGTGACAATACATGCACACTTTTCAGTAACGTTGGATGTGACTCGCCTTTTCAACAACGTGCTTCTGCAACAAACACAATATCAGGATTATCACGGCAATGACACATTAACATCTATTTATACAAAATGGTAAATGTTGGGAGTTTACACTTAAAGCGGGTTTATTTTCGGGAGGCAAGAGAAACTGTAATTAAATGGTTCGTGATTGAAATAAAGAGTATTTGAATATAGTCAATTTATTTAAAAGTTATAACGCACAATTCAGGTATCTTGAAGTCGTTCTTCGTCGAATGAGTACTGGACAAATATTGTTTTCACCTCATTTCGCAGCTCTGATTGCAAACCCGGACTACCAGCAAACGTTCAGCCCTGATCAGTACACTGATAATCGTGGTAAAATGCTTGAATTTATAAACCTTTATTGTATAATTACACTTTTGGTTGCAACAGACTTCCTGTAAAATTACTTAACAGCTTAAATGTGGAAAGAAATGCGCTGCTTAAAAGGCGCCGGTTAAATATATCGGAAATTCCTGGAAGGATAGAATAGGGTTATCATCTTCTCAATTTAAGTATTATAATCTATTGTCAAAAATGTCGAGCAGGTTGGAACGTGAAAATGGTTCAGATTGATATAAAACGTTCCATTATCTTCTAATGTTAATGGTTGTTATAAAAAGAAAAGGAAAAATAATATATTCAGTTTTTTAATTTGTTTTATGTTGTTTTAGAACTGAGAGCTTTGTCTCTACTTTTGGGACCATATGGTGTGAAAACCATGAGTGAGAAATTGATATGGCATGTAGCAAGCCAAATCACTGAATTGAATAAAATTGTTAACGATCATCGAGATGCTTTGGTCTTGGCACGGAGTTGTTTTGACAAGCCGGAGAAAATGCGTGAATTGTTACTGCAGTTGAGTGGAGATATAAAAGACAAAAAACAAGTAGGGTCCCTGAAATCTTTTGGTTTTATTTGTACATTTATTTCCACATTTTATACTTATTAAAGCAAATCATGCTTTAATAAGTGTATAGAGTTAAGGAAAATTCTAGAGAACTATTACAGCGATTAATTAATTGTCATATACTAGTTGCTTTAGTTGAAGTACTAAGAATTTCTATATACTGAGAATTTCAAATTGTTCAACGGGTCTTATTTATAAAGTGTTTGTGACCAGTATAGGTAGATTTAAAGTTATGGTTGCTTACAGTGCTGATGATTAACTATAGATTATTAACTCAATGCAATTGTAGATTTCGGCAAACGGACCCATGGAGTCGGTATTGCAACGTGTTACTATTATTGGTGAAATTCTGTCATTTCGTTCTCTTTTGCACGCTGCGCTGCATGATGTACTCAAGCGTCGTTTACCATTTTTGCTGTCGATTGTAAATGATTTGCATGATACTGCCAACGAACATAATTTATTGGTAATTTTATATAATATGAAGCTCAAATCACACTTGAAAAAGATTTCTACTTTGGGTACAAGTGTGAGTAGTCGTATTTGTTAGAATGCTGGAAATTTCGCTTGCATATTCTTATATACTGGCATAGAAATATTACAATCGTTCCGTAATCGTCGTACAATTCCACCATGTTATGTTAGTAAAATTTGAATAATTTAGGGCTTTATGCACAGTGTATTTCCATTAGTATTCTATTTTTTTTTCGTTCGATATCATAAAAATTAAGAAACATAAATTATCATATTGATTTAAAAATTTGATAAAATCCCTTACATTTAAGATGTTTCAGATGCTGTCAGAGCTCTGCATGGCTGTTGGTATCAGTACGGATGTGGACATTGCATTAGTCCATGCTATTCGAGCTCAGACGAAGCAAACGGAACCCGATGAACACTATACTTTGTCTTGCCTGCTTCTTGTTTTCATTGCACTTTCTTTACCTCGACTAGCTCTGACACAAAATAGTCAGTACAGTGCCTCGCTGCTAGGTCGTTTCTATTTTTATCTTGAATTTGGAATTAGAAATTATTGCAAGTTTATACAGCTTTTGACGATACTAGCGCGCTGAATTTCGGAAGATTTATCAATTTAAGTTCACAATACATTATGCATATTTCATCTTATTAAATACTGAGTTTGCAAAAGATTATTAAGTACATGAGTCTCTATACATCATTTTCCGCATTTAATTGCAGCCTCTAAAAACAATTTGCAATGTATAGCTCTGGCAGTATCAACAGTTGCAAATGCCTTATTTTGTTTGCATGGTCGTAATGATGTTGTTGAAAGAATGAAAGAATTCTTAGCAGTAATTTTTAATTTGTTTCTTTGAAATTTTATATCTTTTTATTGAATCTTTTTGTATTTTAATGGTACAACGATTTAGTCGCATTAACCCGTTCCTTTTCTTTCAGCTGGCATCAAATGGTCTTCTAAGAATGTCAGATGATAACAGCGAGGTGGACATGGCGAAGTCACGACAGTTTGTTTACGTTGTACTTGATCAAGTAAAACATTTTTTAAAGAAAATCTTTATGACTTCACTTTATTTTAAATTGGTGTCGTTAATTGTTCTGTTTAAAAGAATGTATTCGTAACTAGGCTATCACTTCTCAGATTATTTCTCTCAATAGCACGTGTCTTGTGTATCATAACACAAAATATGAAAAGAGATGGCTGCTCAAGGAGCATTTCGATTACTGTTATATTATTATTGATAATGCTATGGTGTTTGGCACAATAATAATAATGGGAAGTAGTGTTTTGGGTTCGGGTAGTAATGCTATCAACTGGAGGAACTCAACTGAAGCGTTTCTGATGTCATCTTTTTATTCAAGTAATTTATATACATTTTTCAGTTGGTGAGATGTAGTCCATTTTTATCGTTTGATCTTCTGGAATCCTGTTTCCCGTATAATCTCATCCGGTCTTCGTATCAGTACTGTTATCAACTGGAGGAACTCAAATGAACCATTTCTGATGCTATCTTTGGGCACACATGATTTCTGTTTCTTTTAGTCTTTCTCTGCCACCTTATTTGCATTTCATGGTTTATGTTTTATTTGATTGAGCAATAGCGTTTTTTCACTTGTATTTCATTTCTGCTTTCTAGATTATAAAAATTTCTATTTATTGGTTGTTGGATGTTTGGTTTAAAAAAAGAAAAACATCAAATTCTTTTATGGTTCTCAAATGATGCATTTTACAGTATTCTGGTTTCTTTGGCTGTCGAAGTGGTAACAGTCTGTTGTTATTGGTATTCACTACTTCCGTCCTTTTATTATGATTTATATTTGATCACTGTTTTATAGCAGTTGTTAGTTTATTTGTATTCAATTTTTGCATTGTTTGGGCTTCCTTTTTTCAAAGTGGTTTATAAAACGATAAAATAACTTTGCAATAAAACAAATTCGCAACAAAATAGACTTGTAAACATTAAAAACACTCAGATCTGCTTTCCTAATACGTGTGAATATTATTTAGCGACAACATAGATGGTCACTTTTCTGGTCACTCATGTCTTACTTTGGCAACATATATATTTTCAAAGTTGATTATGAAACTATAAAATAACTTTGCAATTGCTTTATTGTTTGTATAATAGTGTTGCTTTGTGGTCACTTCTAATATGTTGTAATGTATGTCGTTTAAACTGAGTCAATTCCTGTCAAAGTAATATTTTAATTTGCGAAATAAATGAGTTACTTTTAAACTGTTGGATTTGTTTGTTATGCACTGTACTTTAACAACGGTTTCACGCTGTATATTGTGTACAACAGATATCTCAGTCTTACTGACGTTTCAGAAGAAAGTGGTTAAGTGTTTAAAAGAGTAGAATGTTTCAGGTTTATAAATAGTAGAAACTTAATTGTAAGTTGATCTTAGGGGACCTCAAGCTCGTAAGGTTCTCACACTAATGCTATAGTTCGAGCTTGAGATAACTTCCCTCTTTGCAAAATAAGTAAATGGCTTTGGTGATATTGATTCCATTTAGCTTTCCAAGAATGAGTAAAGTTCTTCACTCCCGGATACTATATATTCCATGCCAGAATGCAGCACCACAATGATTGCACTCGACAGTTGTACTATCTTGGTGTCTTGGATAGATCGATAGTTGCTGATTTTGGTTGTTCTGGGAGGAGTTCGAATGAGCAGCGTTCTAGTGAAGAACGGTTGATCGATATCATCGAAAGTGCTCAACAGTGGGGTAAATTACCGAGTGATTGGTCAAAATGTAGACTTGTTTCTGTTGATGTTACAAAACATGGTCTCAAGGTATTCAGTATTACATCCACTATCTAAAGATAATCTGGGATTCCTGATATGATAGCTTTTCTATTGTGATCTCTCTACTTTCGCAAAATTTTTATTGTTAAATGCAATCCTTTTTAGATCCTTCTAAACATTGAATCTAAATTTAATCTTTCTTTTGCTAGATGCATAATTCCCACTTTCTTCCTTCTTTTTCTTTTCAGTTAACAGATGCATCCGACGGGATGGTTCTAGATCGAATAGCATTATTCCACATTGTGCAGTGTGTTTCATATGAAAATGGTTTCGGTCATTTTTGCGTGGTTTTTTTGGTCCAAAAACCACTAAGTAAGAGTATGCAGTGTTATGTGTTCCAAACTAGCGCTATCTCAGATGCCGATGATGTCTGTAAGCAATTGGGAGAGGTATTTAATGCTGCCGTTAAATGATAAAGTGATAAGTGAACCAGTGATGCGCGATCTAGTCAGATTAGCGTTGTGAATCTGTTTCCGAAAAATAATATGTAACCATTAAACTATTCCTTTTTCTCTGATTTGATTTGTGTAGTTCTCGAGAGATTTTTCGTAAAGATATTAGTTGGAATGATGATATTACCGCTGTTGTTGAGAAAATAACGATTTTAAGATAACGATTAGGCAGTATTATACAACGCATGTACGTGACAGATGGAGAAGACGCGGATATGTAGCGGTGCGTTTTTATATCACCCTAGAAGTATACAGCTTATTTTAGTATGATTATAAATCGAATAGTCTTTTTCCAGCGTGGACATTAATGGTGACAGGTTTCGTGGAACATTGTTCTGGGACTGCTTATATAGAAACTGCAAGACGGATCTTCAATTACGAATAATAGTAGAGAGAATAAAGTATTCCAAACAAGCAACAGTATTTATTTTCCCTGCTTGTTATTAATTAATCATCGGTAGCAAGTATGGCAGTCTCGTTGTTATCGTTGCTGTCGTTAGTATTAAGTAGTGTCATACTAATACAAAATGGTTGCAATTAATAGCGAATGATAAAGTATACTGACATCGTGTTCACCGAAAATGATTTTCTACAACTGAAATAACTATGTGCTATGATGGCCATTCGAATGTCCCGCAAAATTAGTTGTGACCACAACAACGAGCGGAGTGATGTGCGACATGCTTATTTCGAGAGTAATTGCAGTGTGTTAGGACCTTCTCGAAGAAATGTCAACAACAACTTCTGATTCCAAATGAATTTACTTCTGCAAGTTATAGTCCCGATGATAGAACTCTCTTCGGTTTCAATTACTCTGATTTCTGTGCATTTCTATTACCAACAGTATTCATATAATTAGCATAATCCCAATCTATCTGTTGGTTTTAAATTATTAGCTATTAGATGACGACATAGCCACAACAAGTGTCCGTCTTACGGTATCATTCAATTAATAATATCCTTTATTCTCTCATATTAACTAGCCATAATACAAAATTGCTTTTCTCTGTTTAAAAAATTCAAACAAATCCGTAAAATTCTAAAAAATTCAATCTTTGGTGTCAAAATAAGCGGTTGCTGTTGTGTTGTTTCGCTCCTTCCCACATTTTCTTTCCGATTTATATTTTCCTCTCCACAGATTTTCTGTTCGTACAGTTGAAAACAGTTGAGAAATAATATGATAAAAGCGCATACCATTAGAAATAAGATAATGGAAATAGCAACATAAATCCATCTGCAATACACTTTTCAGAGTTAGTCGATTCTTTCGAAATTTATTGAACCTCAAGTTTCATCGAATAATAAATTCAGATTTTTGTTTTACTTCAAATAGAAAGGAAAGAGGCATTCTAGATATTCGGAATTTCTTAAATTTTCTATTCAATCCGACTCGTTAGACGGATTCATTTGCTTCGATAGAAACAAAAATTCAATCATACCGTATTGCGATTATTATGCTATCCTGAATGGAAGTGCACCGTGCATGCATGGAAGCTAAGATAGGTTCTACTGATTCCGGTTGAGCTTTCGTCTTCTTCATTTCAATCGCTGTATCTTCGATAATGATGCTCTGTGCTGTTATTTGTCTCTAGAAGCGCAAAAGGACAAAGACAATACATGGATGGACAACACGTTCGTTACATTTCCGCTCACTTACATTCGAACTTTTCGTAACGCAAAAGTCGTCTTACTGAATAACTCAATGTGATGTGATTAGTCAAACATTTTTGAACAGTTCTGCAGAATGGGAGTAGTCGATTTGTTGTTAGATTAGAAAGTCTTCAAGATTTTCATGATTTCAATCAACTGATGCAAATTCTAAATGTTCAAAACTATACTCACTTTTAAATGGTCGATAATTTTTCGGTAATGACATTATTCAAACCCTCCATATGATTTCTTGCGTTGAACAGGTCGTCATATTTTCTAGACGTGTTGCTCAGGAAGTCATCAGGTAGTTCCAAGTCTTGTCCAGTCTACTAATGGTTTCATTTTGCATTTCAAAAAATTCTCAAATTATTTACTTTCGTTAATTTTCTCATTTTAAAAAAGAAATTTTTTTTTTTTTTTTAAAAAAAACGCACTTGTATGAACACCTTTTTAGCATCTGCTACACCTAGAACAATAATAAAATTGCTGCAGAATTCTGATTTCAAATCAAATTCTTTGACAATTTTGTTGCCGAAGTTTACCTAAAATTATGAACCAAATTTTTAACACTTTTGTTCTCTATGCATTTTCAAACCTAAATTTGTAGGAAATTTCAATTCAGATTAAAAGTTCGTATTATGTTGGAAAATTTTGACAATTAGCGAAACCGACTACCAATGCATCTTCACTAGTTGCTATTGTCTGATTCATCTGTGTTTGAATACGCTTCGCCAGAATAACATATATATGTGGCGGTTTAGTATCGTTTTGACGACATCCTTCCAATGCATTTTAATTATCGAAATATTCAACCTGTTTTAACACTAAAACAATGAAAGATTGAATTTATAATTGCAATCGATATTGTAAATGAAATTTTTAAGGTAAGATATGACATAATAAAAGCAACTAGATAGATTTAGACACAAAATATACGGCTATTTTGTAAATTAATATTGTTGTTTATATCTAATCTCCACTGATCAGTGAGAATATGATCAGGATCACAAAGTGCTGATCCAGGCCATGTGTGACATTGTGAGAAATTTAAGCGTGGATTCGGATATGTTTTTTGATGTCCATCCTTCAGTATCCGTTCGTAATACTGTACCGGATGATAATATCATTGATAGGAACGATAACATCGGCTGGTTTTAAGCTAATAGAATTTTAAGTATAATTTTTGTATAACTAACTGTTGATTAGTAGGTTGAAAATTCTTTAATATGGTAGGATAATTTTAAGTCTGTGAGATTCATATTTTCGAGGTTTACCGTATTTAAAGGATTATTTTAAATTTAGAATTTTTGACTCTTAATCAAAAGGTTTATTCTTTAGGTATTTTTATTTTTTTTTTTTTTTTTATTTTGTTTTTTATATTTTGTTTTTAAATATAATTGGCACTGGATTGCATGGAAGTCATGTATAACTTCTTAACATAATAATAACCATTGTTTGATTTCATAGTTCATCAAAAAATTAAAGTGAAACTTTTGCATCATATTGCTGAATAGCTAGAAGTGTGAACCGACTGTTTCTATTCCAGTCATTAAATACACATTTTGCATCTCTTCATAGACAGAAGTTTCAGAAAATAATATTACGTATTGTTTATTTTATATTAACTGTAGTCAAAAATGTTCAATCATAACGGGAGGAAAATTGAGATGGTTGACAAATAACTGTAAAAACAGGTCAACATGTTACTGATTATTTTATTACCCTCTAATGCCGTTATCTTTCATGAAATCTCAGCCTTACAAAAAGAAAAAAAAAAAAAGGACTTCGACCGATAATGCAATGCTTATCATGTGCTATAACAAAAGAGAGTAACAGGAGTTGGATTTTAGTTGTGGAAAGTTTCGATAGCAAAAGTGTCAGCAGTGGTAGTAACAAGCAGCAGATGTGATCGGCACTGTCAACGAAACGGTGGACACTTCAAATCATCTTGCCGCTTGTTAATGTACCTCAGATCTCTTAAATCTAGATCTCGATTGAAGATCACATTATTTGTATCAATTCTTTGTGTTGCACTAATTCTCTTCTTGGGCTTTGAACAATTTATTCATTCAAATTGTTACTCATTCTCTCTTCTTTAACATTTTTGAGAAGAAATAGCGGAAAATTGAACATTTTAGCAACTTCACAGAAATATATGGAGAACTTTTAAAATATTGCCGAAGCATGAATATTTAGTAGATACAACAAGAATTTCCAAGTGGATTTGCAAACTATGTAATGACGGAATTGGAAATCATTAATGTTGTAAAATATTTTCGGGCATTGTCTCTGATTCCGTATGATAAAATTCAAGATGACCGGTGAATAAGGAAGCAAAAGGGTGATATTCGACACTCGGGGTCTTAATACTGCATGTGTTTTAACAGTCCGGATCATGTACATCCGAAAAGTGGAATGCAGAAGGATACAGAAAGACGGCCAGATAGCGACCGTTGCTGTTATTTCAATTCATTTCAAAATCAGTTCGATTCAAAATTCTATCGCAGAAATTTAGGTGATGACCCAAAACATTATATGTTGTAGGAGTGGAACATACATCCCACGATCTCTGTTTAAGGCTTTGCTCATTATCATTCGATCCCTTCTCCACGATCTCTTGTCACTTGCTCTGTTTTCACCTGTGTTTGGGTGAATACTCAATAGCCTAATCTTCCAGGCCTTTTATTCGTCTTTTGGATTTAAGTTTGTTAAATTACCTGTCGATAGCATTTCTTCAATGCTGCGTTTGCACCTGTTAGGTTCCATTTCGTTTACGCTTTTCTTCTCATTCAATTCAATTAATGCCGAGAAAACTAGAAATTCAGGAAACGTGCAACAAGAAGTCTCTTCCTTTCCTAATGCAAGTGAGATTATGCAGATTTTTAAATTTATATCTACAAATGTATTGCATATTTCAGTTCATTTTGTGGAATTAGCCATCAACGACCCATCTTGTTCTTTTTTCCTCTCACTAGAAGTACTATTTGTCAAATAAATTTCAGTTTTCGCATATCAGTTGTTGATCAGACAAATAAAATCATGATACGTAGGAGCAGTTAGCTTAACCTTCTCAAACGATTTCCTTCATATTGGAATCTGCTAGAAACTGGTTTGAAAGAATTTTGAGCTATATAAAGAAATAGCGAACATCGATGAAATTAACTGACCTCATATTTAGTGTTTTGCGAAAATCGTTTGACTGCCTTCACTGTATCCGACAACAAACGCCTTGTATCGAGCAGTTCTTTAGTATACGAAGATGTTTCCGAAGAAGTTTGTCTAAAGATGTGCAGTAATAATAGAGTAAGCCTTTCAAAATTATCACATTGTAAGGAATTCAGAATTTTCTTCTACTAAACATTCATCAGATTTTTTTCCTCATTGTTGTAAATTCATAACATCCGATCCAATATTTCGCTTTTTTATTCAAAAACATTTATAATAAAATATTTTCTAAAAATCAAACTCTTTCCTCAATATTATGAACAACAAATTATTTACAGTATTCATAAGTGGTCATTTCAGGATAGTGATGGCCGAACAATATTTTGTGCATCGGTAGTTTATGACCAGACAACCTTTGCATGCACTATTTTTCGATCCAAAAGTTATCCGGAAGGTGACTTAAAAATTGAAACTGTTCCAGGACAACGACTCTTCGAGAAATTTTGCCTAAGTAACCAATTAATTCAATTTCCTGAACATCATTTGTTTAACAAAAATCAATTTCTCTTCATCCGGAAAAGCTATTTACGTTAATGAAATTTCCCAAAATTTTGTTCAGCTAAATTTTACCGTCCATTGGAAGAAGTTAAAATATGAGCGACTAGTGTGTAATGAGTGTTGGCCGTAATATGAGACAATTATTGTAACCGATTTCAAAATTCAAATAAGTTCAAATTTTTGAATATGTGCTCAAAAATTACTTTCAGTTTCCTTGGATGGCAGTGAAATTTAGGCTATAACTATCTATAAAGAATATCATCAAATTTAATAATTAATAGAAATATCTGAGTCATTTGAAAATAAAACTGTTAGAAAATTTAGAAAAATGAACTGATTCAGTAAACTTGTCCCTTTTTCATTTATTATAAACAGCTCTTTCTGTACTGAAAGGCATCTGCCGCAATACTTCAACAAAAATGAAAGCGATCTTATATTAGTGAAATGGAAATAAGCAAAAAAAAAAAAAGGAATAAAATTTAAGATGATAAGAAAAGATTACAGAAGATGCACCGATCGAGTGTGCAGACAGTCGGTTCCTGAAGATTGATCAGTCGGTCATCATTGGATATGCAAGAAATGTTTCACTCGCAAGATCCGTTCAAGAATGTATTCAACAGTGCCTCACCGAACATTTCCAGTGCAGAGTATGTTGTCGTTCACACATTGCATATCCTCAAAAAATACCGAAAATCTGAGTGCATTTCCCTCGCACTGAGAAGAAATCTTTTTTTGTCTGTGTCAATCGATGGTAGAACAACACTTCAGCTGAATGAAGTGACCCAATGAATGCATAGGTGAGATGACGACGTTTCTAAAATGATACTGGGTATATCTCTCATAATTTCATGTGCCTGCTGCTAATGTTTCAGTCGGCAATGTACTTCTACGCGGAAGGTGAATGCATAACGAACACCGAATCAGCCATGACTCAACCAGCATCATTTGCCCGAGAAGAAAATGATAAGGTTATTTACATACAGAATGGCTGTCCAGCAATATTAGCACGACAAAAACAATTGGAAAACTCAGCAATAGCAGGTTATGGGCATTCTGAACATTCTCATATACCTTTTCGGATTACATAAATGCAGTCTGGTTCTAAGCAATCATTTTAATTTGAACACTGTGATACTCTCCCGACATGGAAGTATTTTGTGTTGTTTGCGAGGGATGAATTATTGTTCGGTTAAAGGTTTTATTGAGTGATGTCATAACACAATTATCGGGGGACATTTAGAATAGATCTACAGAATGCACTTTTTTTGAGATGAAGTTAATTCAGATTGTAGTTTGACAAACGTTTTTTTTTTTTTTTTTTCTTTGGGGAGGGGAAGGGGGGATTGAGATTGCAGCAATGGGTAGGATGAATCCAAACGATTGTTAGTAGGACGTGATCAAGTAAATAAGCCTAGGAAGTGACTTGTGGATGGTTCTAATTCCTTATATTTATATTTACATCATGCTGTTATAATCTTGTCGGAAATGAGAAATTTGTGTCAAAAAAAAGGGCTATGTAAGTTATCAAGCCGGAATTGATTTCAATGAACATAAGCTTGAAACAAAGATGAGAATTAAATTAATGATTCAAATACATTAAAACATCAAAATATTCATTTACATTTAAATGATGAATCACTTGGCTAAGAAATATTCGAAATGCTACAATTTTTATGGTACAAATTTGCATGTTATGAATTGATTTAAATTATTACAAGATATTCCTACAATATGAAATACTTTCATTATTTAGACATATTTACATTATAAAATTTATTCGGTTAACATATTTTTAAAACATTATCATCACATAAGCCTTCATCTCATCTTCCTTTTTAGCTGCAAAATTATCGCCTATCGCAGTAGACGACCATATCGAAGACGTTAAGGAAGAAAATCCGTTGAAGGAACGAAAGGACTTGAATAATGACGTTTATAGTGAGAGTAACGAAGAGCAAAGTGACGACGCAATCAGGACAAATTTCGGAAATGTTTCCGCAGTCGAAGAGGCAACAACAGCAAGTACCATCAAAGGAATGTCGAAAATACTGGCGCGTAATTTGAAAAAACTGAGAACTGATAGCGGTACCGTCAGCTTCAGTAAACGTCCCAAATCACTGAGACAAACAAAGTTACAGGTCAATTCACAAAAATCACCGGTGACCTTTCGAAAAACTATTACTACTACCGTGGTTGTATAACCGAATGCTTGATATCACATATAACTATATCAATTTAACGCAGTACACAGGGAAACCTATCATAAGTTCTAATGCTTTCAGTAACTTTCATAAAGTATGGAAGGCTTGAAAATGGATCCGTGGTTACTGTCTAAATTTTTCGCTGGAATGGCATTATCCA